CCCCCGCGCAGGGGGCTGGGACGCGAGTTGCCCCCAGGTGCCTCGGCGGCGAATGGGGCCGCGCCGACGCGGCTGAGCCTTTGGGCGCGAGCGGCGGTGCCTTGGCAGGAGCGCCCATGGTGATGCCTCCTCGCTCGGGGAGGCCGGCTTTGGGTGTCAAATTGATCCTGCGGGGCTCTAGCGGCGTCCTGGGGGAGGCGAGTTGCGCCCTTGGCGCGCCCCGCGAGCTGGCCCGACTGGACGCGCGCTGAGCGGATACCTGGCACGGGGACTGGCGGCGGCTCTCCTGGACGTCTCCGTCGTCAGCGAGGGGCACCGTGCGCGGCGGCGGGGCGGGGCGTCTCGGCGGGGCGCGGGAATGCGCTTGCGGCCTGGCGCCCGCGCGGCGGCCCCCCCCCCGCGGAAGCGCGGCATGCCTCGGCAGTTAGCGCTGGGAGGGTGGAAAAGCTACAGCAGTTCCTGCACGAGCTGCAGGGCGGCGTTCGCGCGCGCGGCCCCGCCGCGGGCAGGGTCGGCCCCTGCGTTCGGGCGAGCGTCAGCGCCGCGGGCGCGGGCCCCAGTCGGGGGCGGATCTGCGGCGACCAACTGGTCGGCGGCCGTCGCGCCTCAGACGACTGCCCGCGCGAGGCGCCGCGTGCACCTGCGGAGGCAGCACCGCCCCGCGGGGGCGGCGGGGGCGAGCAGCACTGGGTCGGCCGCCCAGCCACGGTGGGTGGCGAAAGCAGCCCGCGCGCCGATGGCGAGCAGCGAGAACACCACGGCGCCGCTGTGGAGCCACCCTGGGTGGATGCCAGCGGGCTGCTCAAGCCGGCGGATGGCTCGCGGCCCCGAGTCTGCGGGCGGCTGCGCGACGGCCCTAGGCGGCGCAATCCGCCGGCTGGCTCGGCGCCCGCGGCGACCCGCCGCTGCCCCGGCTGAGCCCGCGGCGGGCCCGACGGGCCGCGAAGGCGCGGCGGCGCCCCCCACGGCGGGAGCAGGAGCCCCACTGAGCGTTGCTGCCGTGGATGGGTTAGTCGCCGTTGGGCTGGGCAGCGGGCGGCTCGCCCCGCCACCGCTGGCGGGCGTCGCGAGGGCGAGCAGTCCAAGCGCGAGGCGCGCCATGATTTCTGGCCCAGCAAAGCGAAATGTTGCCGCACATGGCCGCGGGGCACGAGCGCAGGAAGGGGGGAACGTCGCCAGCCCGGCGCCCCCGCCGCCACGCTGACCCCTCTAGGCGCAGAGGATGCACAACCCCACTGCGCATGGCGACAAAACAAAGCAAGGCAGTCACACCCAAGAATGCACGATACACGCCCCGCATCTTGATTCCCTGAATTTACATGCGCACCCTCGCCTGAGGCCACAGCGGAGGCCGCGCAAAACTGAGCGAGAAGTAGGAGGAGCCCTCTGCGAACGTAGCTTCCTCTATCGGCCGAGGGGAACTGACTGAGGCACCTTCTAGGCGGACTGGGGCGCACGGGGCCGCGCGCCCGACTGGGCGGGCCCAGCGCTGTGCCGGGGCCGCTTGACCCGCGGCCTGGGCGGGCGGGAAGGGGCTTGGAAGCTTCCTTCCCCGATGGAGTCGACGGGGGCATCGACTGCGGCCTTGAGCTCCCGCGCGCGCGAGATGCTGGCCACTGCGTCGGCACCTCCCGCTGGCGCGCCCGAAGCGGCCATGAGCGAGACAAGGCCGATCACGATAGTGTCGACGTGGGACGTCGCGGCGCCTAGGCTGATGGAAGCGCTTGCCAGGGCCTTCCCGAGGTCAGCGGACTGGGCCCTGAGCTCGTACATGGAGTCGAGCATGTCCGGTTGCGCAGTTATCAAGCGGTCTGTCGGCTCTGCGACCGCGGCGACTTCCACCTCTCGGCTGCGGACACGCATATCTCGCGCGTCGGCGAGGCCCGCAACCGCGCTGGAGCCGAGCGCGGGGGCGGGGGGCGGGGCAGCGGCAAGCGTGCCAAGCTCCGCTGCGCCCTCGTCGTAATCCCCCTCAACGTGGTCGACGACCACGGCTTGCTGGCCGGGCGACGGGCCCGCGTCAGCATGACGCCTGGGCGCTCCTTCCGGCTGCCGCGGGGCGCGGCGCAGGGGATGGCAGGCCCTAGCTTCGGGGCCTCGCTGGGCGGGGGTGCGGGGGGGGGCCCGGGGTCGGAGGGGGGGCCCGCAGGCCCCTGGTCTGTGCTCGGCGAAAGCGATCATCCATTCTGGGCGGTTCGCCGCGGCGGTCGACGCGCGCTGAGCAGTCGGGGCTGCTTCGAGGGGCCCAGGTGCCAGCAGCTCCTGCGGGGCCAGCGCGGTCGCCTGAACATCAGGGCGATAGCTCAAGATTGAGCGCGCCCTTTGGCCTTCAGGGCGGTCGCGGGCGGTGTCGCGCCTGCCTTGGGGAAGCGCAAAATTGCCGGCAGTGGCATCGCCCCAGCCCGCGTGGTATACCTCGGTGACCCAGTTGGCGGCCCTCAGGATGCGGAGGATTTGGCCGCGCGCCGCCACTGCTGCGCCCATGCCCGCAGCGCGGTACATGGCAGTTCCAAGCGCTGCGGTGGCGCCACGATGGGGGCGCGAGACAGCTGCGACAACTTCGGACCGCGTGGGGACTAGCAGGCCGACGCGGGAGCCCTTTCGACCAGGCCTGCGATGTGCCCCGAGGGCCACTAGCTTGACTGAGTCAGCGTAGGCCGTAGCGAGGTCTGGCCCAGGGTCTGGGTACCAGATGAAGTCGCACTTGTCGGCGGTGCCTGGCGATCGGGTGCCTCGGCCGAAGGAGATGTCGAAGGCCCCCCCTTGTTGGCCAGACGCGCTGAACACGTCGTGGACGCGAGCAGACTCGATGCCGAGGGTGGCCGACAAGCTGCACTTGCCTGCCTGCGCCCTCGGCGGCACAGGGACTTGCAGGGCTCGGTAAAGGCCACGCGGGGGAAGAGTTGCTCCCGCAGAAAGTCAAAGCCCTGTTGGAACTCTGCGTCAAGCGCCAGCTTCCTAGGGTTGACTTTGGCTTGGTGGCGCCGCTGCATGGGTCGTTGCTGAGCAGAGCCGTCACATGAGCGAGGCTTTCGCTGCCCTTGACAGGGGCGCCGCCTGCGAACTGCTGGGCGGACAGTCCTCTTAGGGTTGCGTTGGTTGCGACAGTGGCTTTGTCTTCCCAGATGGTGCCTTGGACCCACGTAACTCGCAACGCTGGGTCGAGTTCCACTTCCATGACGTTCTGGATGCATTGGACCTCGGTGCGTCCGAAGTGGTAAGTGGTAGCATCGAAGTGGGTGGGTTCCGGTCGAATGGATTGCGGCGCCCGCCGTGTGACGGGGACCTCGCATTCGTGTCCTACGCACGGCGGATCCTTGGGGCCGAGGACGACCACGGCGAGGGGTTCATCTTGGCGTTGGAGCGCAGCCAGGGCGGCTGGTGCGTTTTCGGCCGTGCACAGAGACACTGAGCTTTTGTACGCGGTCGCACCCGTGTCCGTGTCTACCACTGGCTCGGGAGCCGTGGAAAGGGTAACGACTGGGGCCTCTGGCGGCTGAGGCTGAGCCTCATCACCCATGGCATTTTTTGCGCGGGTGCGCTCGTAGTGCATACGGGCCCAGGATACCTTGCGAGTGGCGCACAGGCGGTAGAGTGCGCGTCAGTCTTCTGGAGAAACACCGTGGGTGGTCCAGACCAGCCCCAGTGCGTCGCCAGCTTTCTGGGCAAGCTCACTGTAAGCGGGCACTGCACGGTCGCATCCGCTTTAGCGGAGAGCCTTCACGCATGCGTCCTTCCGCACGAATTTACTCTCGGGGTCGGGCGCTGAGCATCCACGCGGCGGCGCGGGCAAGGCGGTGCCATTGCGCGCGCTGGCGGGGAAGAACGGTAGACGTATCAGTTGCGCCCCTGGGGGGCGGGAACGGTCTCGCCTCGGGAAGGCTACGTCAAAGGCTCGCAAGCACCCCTGTGCCTTGAGCCGAGACTAGAGAGAGACAGGGAGAAACAAAGAGAAATAAAGAAAGAAAAATTATAAAAATGAGAAAGAGAAGGAGAGCGAGAGTGTCCTTCCACCTCGCTGACCTCCCAGGAGCCCACGAAAATTGAACACAGTTGCGCATAGCCCCCCCAGGGAAAGCGAGGGAAGAGGCAGGGGGGACAAGAAGGAGGACGGAGACCAGCTGCGCGGTGGCAGGGAGGCGACGGGAGGCGGGATGAGACGCGCGAGCGGCGACCTCTGGAAGCGGCCGGGGGTCTGCGCAGCCCCCCAGCCGGCTCCAAAATGCCCTGTTCAAAACGAGAACCCAACTCAGGCGGGTCGGGATACAGTCGGGGCCCTGAAGAAGGAACCCTTTTCGTTGGGAGGGGCTCCGTGTTCCTTGATTGTTTCGCAGCTTGCCCTGGATTTTCCTTAGGCTTTCGATGCGAAATCGAAGTTCAACTTATGGAAAATAGGGGCCTCGTTCCTTATTTAGGGTTCCTTAGGTCAACGCCTCGACTGTAAGCTCAGACCCAACTGCTCCGGCAGACCCGCTGCGGGCGCGGGGGCTCCAAATCTAGCTCGCCTGGCATGCGCGCCGACGGCGCCACGGCCAGCCGCCGCCTCCCGTCGTCGCCGCCGCCCGCCGTCGTCACCGCCGCCGTCGCCTCAGCCGTCGCCCCCACAGCTCCGACGTCGCAACTGTTCCACAGTGCTGAGGAGAACAGTCACCGTGTTGGGCGGAAGGGCTTGGGAGGACGAAAGGTACTAGCATCCAGATACGATGAACGGTAACTTCGGCCGCCTGCGGGCAAGGATATCCTCACTTCTCCCAGCCCCATCCTCCCAGCCCGATCATTGCCTTCCTGCAACGTGGACCCCTCGAGGTCTCGACCCATTCCCCGGGACCGGCCTTTCATCCTGAGTGGCTTTTGAAGGTCCCAGGGCCCGGCGAGGGCCCCTGGAGGCCGAAGACTGTCAAAAACCGCCCGCCGCGTTTGTTCACGACGAGAGGAGGCGACGGCCGCCGCCGCGGCCGCGCGGTCGTGGTCCCGACAGACTTGGGCGCCGCCCGGGCTGCCGTTCTTCCGCCCGCCCAGGTAGTCGCCGCTGTACTTGGCCTCGGCTGGAGGAGGAGGAGGAGGAGGTGGGGGTGGGCGTCGCCTGCCCCCCCCCCCCGCGCGAGCGCGGGGCGCTGGCGGGACCGACTGGGGCCGGCGACTCGGGGCCCACGTGGTTTTGGGGGTCTGCCCTGAAGTCTGGGCGCCGCAATGTTTTTTAAGAGGCCCCAGGACACACAAATCAATACACACAAATAAGAATATCCCCCATATTTTCCCATGTTTTCTGGGTTTTTGTCTTCCCCCCCCACTTCCCATGTTTTCCAATATTTTCCTAGGAATCGACGATGAATTGTGTCTCTGTGTTTCCCTACCTAGGCTCTGCCTGGAAGGGTTCTTACTCTCTTAGCTTAAAAGGGCCGGGCAATGGAAAGCGGCCCGGGCGGTTCCCCCAGTCCCCTGGGAGCGGTTCCCCCCAGTCCCCTGGGAGCTTTAGCTTTAGCTTTAGCTTTAGCTTTAGCTTTAGCTTTAGCGTTAGCTTTAGCTTTAGCTTTAGCTTAGCTTTAGCTTAGCTTTAGCTTAGCTGTAGCTTAGCTTTAGCTTAGCGTTTCGCTTAGTTTTTCGCTTAGCGTTTAGCTTAGCTTTACCTTAGCTTTAGCTTAGCTTTAGCTTAGCTTTAGCGTAGCTTGAGCTTAGCTGTAGCTTAGCTTTGGCTCAGCTTTAACTTAGCTTTATATTAGCTTTAGCTTAGCTTTAGTTTAGGTTTAGCTTCACTTTAGCTTAGCTTTAGCTTAGCTTTAGCTTAGCTTCAGCTCAGCTTCACCTTAGCTTCAGCTTAGCTCTAGCTCAGCTTTACCGTTACTCCTAATGCTGCTTTCCCAGGGGCTCCAACTCCAACTCCTAGGAGGAGGAGGAGGAGGAGGAGGAGGAGGAGAACAGGAGGAGGATAGGCTAGGTAGGGTCGCACTGGGATAATGATTCCCCTACTGAGTGTTTCCGCACGGGGCGCTGTCGCCCGGCCGCGGGCTCCCCGGGCCGACACGGAGCGGTGCGCCTCGAGGGAGAATATATATATATATATATAAGAAAAAACACACAAACAAAAAAACAAAAAAACAAAACAAAAAACAAAAACAAAAAAAACAAAAAAAAAAAAAAAAAAAAAAAAAAAAAAAAAAAACAAAAAAAACGCAGAAGGAAAAGGTCTACGAGCATCGTTTCCTCGACCCCCATCCCCAGCGGCGTGGCCTGGGCCCCACGTCGTCTCCGGGACAGCGAACTCAGCGATGCCCTCGCCCGGAATCGAGAGCGAGGTATTGGGGGGAAAGCAGTTCTATAGGACCGCCCCTTACGCTCCTGTGCCCGCCGGCCCAGCCGCGTCGGGCATCAATGCTGGCTGGATTGACTCTGATAGGATCCAGTCATGGGCAGATGAATCTTGTGCCGAGGAGCCCGTTATAGAGAGATCGGCGACGGCGGCGGCCCCGGGCCGGCCGCGGACGGCAGCTGCGACGCGACGGTCGACTACGAGGCCTGGATGGGGGGATACGGGCCGTTCCCTTCGGGCTTCGAGGGGTGCATCCCCAACTGGGGTGGTACTTTGGTGGGGGCCTCGACAGGGCTGAGGATGGGGATGGGGGTCGGTTGAACGATACCGAGTCCAGGGCTCTGGTCACGAGTTTTCGCGATGCTGCAATTGCTTCGCAACGCTGGATCGCGAGGAAGCGACACTACACGGCCCAGGACAGCGAGACCGCGCGCTCCTGGGCGGGGTGGGCCTGTCGGGCCCCTCTCGGCGATCAGTGGGCGATTGGGGGTCGACGCTAGTACTGTGTGGGGAGGAGGAGGAGGAGGAGGAGGAGGAGGAGGAGGAGGAGGAGGAGGAGGAGGAGGAGGAGGAGGAGGAGGAGTCCTCGGAGGCGTGCGTCCGACACGAACATCTAGCATGACTAGCATGACCATCGTGCGGTGCCTCGTTCCCCGAGCGGTGCGGCCAGCAAGCGCCCGCCGCCCAGCACCCCTGCGAGAGTTCTCGGCGCGCGCGCCGCCCTGGGGGGGAGGGGGGCAACGCACACATGGCATCAATACGACGGGATGGCGCCGACATCGGGGGTGGCCAAGCGGGGGGCGTCCAAGAGGGGGGGGCGCCAATCATGGCCGGCGGCACGTGCGCAGCCCATGGGGGGGGCCATGATATCCACCCCTAGTCCTCACCCCCCTCCCCTGAGATCCGAAGTTGAAGGAGAAGACGGAGGAGGAGGAGGAGGACGGAGGAAGGAGGAGGAGGAGGAGGAGGAGCAGGAGGAAGGGGAGGAGGGGAGGAAGAGGGAGGAGGAAGAGCAGAGGAGGAGGAGGAGGAGGAGGAGGAGGAGGAGAGGAGCAGGAGCAGGAGCAGCGAGCAGGGAGAGCAGGACAGCAGCCAGGAGGAGGAGGAGCAGGAGCATGAGGAGGAGGAGGAGGAGGAGCGAGGAGGAAGAGGAGCAGGAGGAGGAGGAGGAGGAGGAGGAGGCCCCTGAGGCTGTGTCAGCCTGGGGCTGCGCAGGGGGCAGGGGCGGGCGTGCCTGGCACCGCGCCGAGGCGCGGGGCGGCGGACGGGCGGTCGGGAGAGCGTCGGCTTCCGGCGCGCCGCGGCGGCGGTGCGCGGCGGCCCGCCGTGCCGTGAGGGCCCACGCGGCGTGCCGCTCCGCCTTCGCAGGACGGGGGGCTGGGGAAGAACGGGAGAGGAGGGAGGAAAGAGGAGGCGGAGGAGGAGGAGGAGGAGGAGGAGGAGGAGGAGGAGGAGGAGCAGGAGGAGGGAGGAGGGGGAGGAGGAGGAGGCGGAGGAGGAGGAGGAGGAGGAGGAGGAGGAGGAAGAGGAGGCCGCCTGGGAGCTTCCCGAGGGACCCGCATCAGGCCAGGGAAGGGCTGTCTGGGGACTCAAAGGGCAGCGTGATAGAGGGGGCCTCTGCGGGCACGCTTGGGGCCTCTGTGGGCTGTGTGGCCTCGGTGGGCAGCGTGCTGAGGCCTCTGTGGGTGCGCCTGGGGTCTCTATATTTATTCCTCTTCCTACATTTTTATAAGCCCTGGCGGGGGGAAACACCCCCCAAAAAAAACCGGACTCTCGGGATCTGGGGCTTTGGGACCCTCCAGACGGGCCTCGAAGCGGCCCCCCGGGCCTCGCAGGGCGTTTTGCCAAGCCTTCCCAGCACACCTAGGGCGATCAGGGGGGTCATCGGAGACGTCCCAGAGACCCCCAAGACAGCACAAGAGCGCTCCAACAGTGACCGACGTGACCTCAAGATGGCCAAAGAGGCCTCCAGGACGGCCCCAAAGAGGCCTCCAAGAGCACTCCCAAGAAGGCCCTGAGAGACAAAAATCATGGATTTTCTGTTGGTTTTTGGTGAATTTGGGGGTTCTCCTCTTTTCGGCTTCCCCGACGCTCCAAGACGGCGGTCTTCTGGGCGTCCGAAGCCGCCTGGGAGGCTCCAAAATCGCCCCACAACCATCCGAAAGGGCTTCCAGGCAGTCCAAGAGAGCCCCAAAACGGCACAACACGAGTCCAAGATGGCCCTCAGAGAGCCCCGTGGCGGCCCAAGATGGCCCCAAGACACCCTCCGAAGCATTCCATATCGTGACCCGGTCGTTCAGGGAGACCGCGGTTGGAGGCAGGGTGGCCGAGGAAGCCCCCAGAGGCCCCCAGAATACGCCCAGGAGGCCTCCAGAAGGCCGAAGAAAGCCTGAAACAATTTTTGTGAGGCACCCAGAGGCTCTCCAGGGAGGAGCCTCCGCAAAAAAGAGCTGAGGAGGATGGGGAGAATGCGCAGGGTACGGCGAAACATAAGAAAAAGAAGCATGGAGAAAAGATAACAAATAACATTATTATAGCGACAATACCGGAAAAGGCAACAAGGAGTTATCGCTAAATTGTCGGCTTGACCTTCCTGCTAATCGGCCTGCATACCATGCTTCAAGGACCAGGATGCATGGCGCGAAGCGCCACTGCATTCTTGTGAATATATATATATATATATATATATATATAAATATATATTATATATATATATATATATATATATATATGTATATATAAATGTATATATATATATATATGTGTATATAAACATATACATATACATATACACACACACATATATATATACATCTACATATACATATACATATATATGTATACATATATATGGGCTGTGTTTGGGACCTCGGCTTCCCTGGAGCGGGGGCAGGAGAAGGAAACCTCAGGAATGGTGTACGCAGTTTGGTGTGCGAATACGCTGCTCGCTCTGGCGGGGCCTCCCTGAAGGGGTGGGGACGGGCGCGAAACCTTGCAAATCCCACCAGCCGTTTGGGCTAAGGTGGTCTCACGAACCCTTTCTTTGCTCGTCCAAAAACCAGATTCCCTTCGGGAAGGGGTGCCTTCCCACTCCCCTCCCTCAGGTTGTTTCTTGTTTCTTTGGGGGGGGGGTGCGCGAAGTCTCAGGACGCCCAAGATGGCCCCAGACGGCTCCACAAGGGCGTCCGATGCTTCAAGATGGTCTCCAAGATGGCCCAAAGTAATCGAAGATGGTTCAAGATGGCTTCCGACATACCTCCAAGAGGTCCGACGAGGGCCACAAGACGGTTCCAAGTGCACTTAGAGCCCCCTCAGGACCATCCCAAGCGGTCAAAATCAAAAAAAAAAAAAAAAAAAAAAAAAAAAAAAATGGAAATCAATCATGGTTGTCTTCTTCTCTTTCCGCTTCCGATGCGCTTTTGAGGCCTCAAGTTGTCCCCGAGATGGCCCAAGAAAGCCCCAAGAGAGCCCCAAGAGGCCCCCCAGACGGCACCAAGAGCACCCGAGAGCGCCCCAAGAGGCGATGTTGATGGTCCCAGTGGGGGGGAGAACATGTGGGACACCCCCCTTTGATCAATGGCCTACAGGATGGCCCCAAGAGGCCCTTCAGGGCCTCAAGGGACCCCCAAGAGGGCTCCAAGAGAGCCCCAAGAGGGCCCCAAGACCCTCCAAAAGAGCTCCCAGAGAACCCTAAGATCACCCAAAAGAGTCCCACGAGGGATCCAAGAGGCGA